TGCTTCTGAAATTAGTAGTCAGATTCATCTTTTGAGGTATAAGATGTTTGAACTTGGCATTGAAACATTCCAGTCATTATTCAACTATAAAAGTAGATAATTAACACACCTTCTGAATTTCTGCCAATTTCATTACATTTTCATCAGCTTTTTTCTGCTCTTCAGATGCCGTCTGAAGTGAACTATTTTCCAATGCATTCTGGGAGAACATCAATACATGTTTGTCAACCATTTCTAGCTAATTATACACCTTAAGCACAATAATTTCCAAGTAATGATGCAGACAGTAGTATAGCAACGGAAAACTATGTTACAATAATGTTTTCTTTTAACAAATTGCATTGGGTATAATGCCCTTATCGTAAAAATATCCCCAAAACAGACATAATAAATTAAGACAAAACCCTATCACATATGTAAGATTTTTACTGTTTAATGGTTCGCCTTCGAATCTATACAGTATGGAAGGCACAATATTCAGTAATTATAAGTAGGATCCATGAATTTCAGAGCACTAAGCAGCTACTGCTGATACCCATCAATACAACACTGCTGCCCAAAGAACAGGCAATAATGATTAACTCTAAAAGTCTACATTATTTAATTTGGACATGACCGTCATCAATGATACATCAGTATCATGGAAAGTGTATTCTGTCTCAATGTCCAGCGGAGGATACAACAAATAAGTGAAGTTTCTCAAATAATCCATAAGAAGACTAGAATCTGAGGGCTTAGTCAGGCCAATATAATCAGTCTAATTATCGATTATCACAATTTTCTATCAAAATGGATTCCTTCATGTACAAAGGATTTCATTTGACTAGATAAGCTCCAAGTAATGTATTATGGAATCATTAACGCATTATGGGAACCCTTAGTTAATCACAATTGAACTACAGTATAGGAGGATCAACTCCCTTGATCTTCCCCTTCAAAAAGTATTTACCTATATCAGTATAGGAATAATTAACCATTTCAAAACAGTTGACAATGGAGTTTTTTCTTTTAGGGGGGCGGAGGTGGGGTTTGTTCACTTCTTTGACATACACATAGAGACGCATGATAAAGAAGCAAGTTGCAATATGAAGCATGCAATACCAGTATCAAATGCTGCACCTTTTCAATCTCTTCAAAGAGCTTTTTTCTTTCATTTTCATTCCGGGTCTCACGTTTCTCCAATTCATTACCCTTGAGCTCAAGCTCTTTTTTTTGAGTTTCCAATTGCACCTTAAGCTTTTCATGGTCATTAAAAATCTTCTGGAAATGTTCCCTGGCACTTGACTGAATCCTTTTTATCTCTACTCATTGCAAAGAAGCATGTCAAAAACTACTATCACCACGGATAAGGAAATACTAATAATAACTAATAAGAACAACAAAAAGTCAAATTTTGGTATTGGCACAAAGCTAGGTCAGTCAAAGCATCTCCATTAGTAACCTCTATTTTTAGAGAGGATCTTTTTGAAATAGAGACCATCTTTGATAAAATTTTAAAAGAGAGTCGAACTGTCTAAATAGAGAGCCTATTGGAGATTGATTTTTAGTGATTGACTCTGTAAAATAAAGAGTTGAGTGGAAATAGAGAGTCTATTGGAGATGCTCACAGCCTTAACAGAACCCTACAGCTGTAGATTTGACTTTATTTGACTCAGTTCTAAAAAGTGGATGGAAACACTAAATAATCTTGAAAACATCACACCTTCATTGTAATCTTGATGAAGCTTATCTTTTTCTGCAATTGACATGCTCAGGGACTTTGAAGTCTCATTGATATTCTCCTCCATTTGTTTTAAGTGCATCTTCTTGACCTCGATGACGTTTGTCAAATTATTTACAAGCTTACTTGTCTTCCGAGCTTCATCAGCCATGATATCAGAAATGGTTCTAAGGTCACCAACCTTTCGAAGATGTTCCCCAATGATGCATTTGGAATTGTAGTCATCTGCACGAGCAACCCATGCATAAAGATCAGATTTTTGGCATCCGTTGGTTGCCAGTCTTTTTTCCCATGATGATCAGCCTCATAAGCCTTCTCAAAAGACATAGCATTGTTGAACCCAGACCAATCTTTATTAAATTCCACAACTGCACTTCCCGAATGTCCACGGAAATTCCAGAGAGGGTGTACTCTTATGGGATTGAAGCCTCTCCTGATCAACTGGTCCCTTAACTTAGAACCACTCTCCCCCACATAACGCCCATCCTTCCATTGAGTAGGGAGGTTAACAACAATTCCGATCCACGGCCAAACAAACATCTCGTCACCATCATGATCTGCCAAAGGATCAGCCTCAGCTACTGGTCGTGATGGGCCCGCAACAACTGCTAAATCTTTCTCTAAATATTTCGCCAATGCTAGATGATTGGCCTTATCTCTTACACTTCGCTTTTGTGAATTACACTTGCCCACGCCGTTTGCATGCTGTAAGAGGTCCTTGTATAGGTAATCTCGCTTCTTTTTCTTTGGACAGTATGGGCAAGTGTAAGCTTGATCGGATATTTGGATGTGGTGCCTTCCACTCTTCAATTCTTCATAAGCTTTGTCTTCATATTCCTCTATTTCAGATTCACTGACATCAGTGTCTTCATCAGAACTATAATCCACTTCACTCCCCATCAAATCCACAAAAAACCAAACCTAAAGAACAAGCTAACGTAAACATAATTTTCAACCAAAAGCAACATTGATCATACCAGACAAGTAAAACATAAAAATAAATAATGCATCAACTCATTCCACGTCAGAGAATCAGAATCCATGCTTAAGAGCAAGGTTGTCAAAAGGTGTATCAGAACGTGTATCGTTTTTTAAAAATAATGTATCGTGTATTGTAACGAATACTCAATTTAAAAAATTGGCATCCACACATGCCCCCTTAAAAATATGTAAATATATGGTGTCTGAAGTAATATAAATAACATTTCAACCACTCATCATTTCGTGTGATGGGTTTGTGCTGTGTCCAATAGAGAACGAAAGAAAGACATTGTCTTCACAATAGAGATCGAAATATAGTTATGGTTTTGTTTGTTTGAATAAGAAGAAGAAAAATAAGATGCAGAAGAAACAAAAGATGGTCTCATCTCATGACATGAAGATGATCAAGAGCTTCTTTTGTTTGAGATCAAACCAAAAAAAGAAAAAATAACACATAGAAAATGAAAAAATAACACATAGGAAAACAAAATTGTTTCATTGCTTAAGCTAAAAAAAAAGTCTTGTGAAAATGAAGTCGTTTTGATATTGCGCAAATAGTTTTTTGGTTGTATCAGAACGTATCGTAAGATACGTATTGTTTTGTTACTATATCGAGACATATCGTAAGATATGAACAACTATGCTTAAGAGGGAGTACAAACTATAATTCACACCATCCAAAATGATCATGCACTGGCCATGTTTGGGACCATCATGACCAGCTTATGGATGCAGTTTCAAGTCCCCTGCCTTTCCTGCTCCAGGTTTGGGGATTTATTCAAAGAAAATTACATACAGTTTCCTCTTGTCCGGAAAAGAACAAAGGTACCCACTTTCTAATTTTTATTTTCCATAGAAAAGTACGTGTAAATCAGGTTATAATAGACTACTGAATGTTTAAATTCCATGCCTCCGCAACTAATGAATCTCAAACTCTTAAAGTGGGAGAACAAACACTCCCCAGGTAAGCAGACTGAAATCAATTAGAGTCCCACTCACATTTACCAAAAATCTGAACTCAGGTGAGCCTATTCAACAACTCGACAAATTCAAACTCAATTTCTCTCCTTTTTATCCATTTTCTCAGCAACAAAACAAAGTAAAAGCCCAAATCAAACACTCACAATGACATCACATAAATAACTAACTGAAACACAACCATGCATCGAACAAATCACCTCAAAAAAGCAAAACAATCACCAAAAATTAAAATCTGAACAACAAATCAAAATCACTTCATCATACATGACCGTCCATAAATTCACATGCATTGTATAGAAAGGAGGGAGAAAGAACTTACCTAAATTAGATAAATTACCAGATTTTTCTGGCAAATGTGGATCGTGATAACACGAGAGGAGAAAATTCTGGGGCAAAAAATGAGGAGAATTAGGGAGATTAGGGTTTGATCGAGGAAGAGAGTCAAACAGGAAGTGCGTGACGACTGCCTCTCTCTCTCTCTCTCTCTCTCACACCTTGGGTTTGATGAGCAGAGGAAGACGACATAAACGTACATACAATAATGTAAAAACTAAAAAGTGATTCCCGCATTCTGATGTGGACCAAACTATACTCGCATTTATAGCGCGTCCGTTTCACGGAAGCAGTGTTCACTGTTTCAGTTAAAGCCAGTGGACTGAACTGGTACAATTCTGTCTCGTCAAAAAAAAAAAAAACTGGTACAATTCTGATACCAATGGATTCGCATCCTTTCAATTTTCAAAGTTAAGTACTTTTTCTAGATTTTCTTTTTTATTTTTTTAAACGGTAAAGTGTTCGGATTAGGTTACGTATATTACTAATGATGCATAAAATATTAAAATGATCCTGCACACCACCTATCAAATAATTGCAGTAATTAAAAATAAAAAGAGTTGGAGTATATAAGATTTATAATGGTTCGATCAACGTGATCTATATTCACTTTTAAATGACCTTGGTCGTCTGGTACTTTATTAGCTCAAGAGTATAGGAAGTAAAGAATATAAGGGAGAGGAGAGAGTTGTGCTCAACTGAGTGTGATCTTCTGCCCCTAAGTGTTGGTGAGGTTTATAATTTATAGTCGTCTCTTAACAGATTGAGACAACTTAATAACAACTAAATAACTATTCTGGTGGAACTGAAAATTTTTTCTTAACGGGCGAGATGGTGAGGTGCTCTCCATGTGACTCGGTCAAAGGATGAGGTGAGGGTTGAATTTTTCAAGGAAGTGAAGGGGAGCCTCCTGGTGACCCTTACTCCAAGGTGGTAGAGGAGGCTCTTGACGATCCTTACTCTAAGGTGGTAGAGGAGACTCTTGATGACCCTTGCATGTCCCCTACTGATGTAGCTCCTTGACCTTGATTAGTTTGTCCAGCTGCAAACTCCTTTAGGCTTGATTAATTGGACTTATTGGTGTTGGGCCCTTGGGCTTGTAACCTGAGTCGGGCCCTTGGATTTAGCTCATCAACTCCAATTAATCTCTTTCTTGATTCAGTGAAAAATAGACTATTTACGCCAAAACTAGCATATTCAAGAAAAAAATCTTTTTTTTTATGGATTTCCTTTTTCTAAAAAAATTTAAATAACATTTTATGGTGTAAAAACCCAAAAAACATAGTGTTGGATGAGTTGTTAATTAAGTGCGATAGGCGGTCAATTTGAAAAAAAAAATACAAAAATTAAAGTGATTCATCCTATTGAAGAGCAAAAGTATTCAGTGTCTAAGTGAGATTTTTGCTCCTTTGGTGTATATTGCTTGAAAAAAAAAAGAATATACATAACAAGGTTTTTCTAAGGGACAGTGTATTGAATTACCATATGTTACACTCTTTCATTGCATTTATAATAGATTTGAGAATATTTGGACATTGAAAGATTTTTTGCCCAATGTATGACATGGGCTTCTAGAAATAATAACATTTTGTCCAATATAGGATTTTTCTGATATAGTTTCTATTTTGTCCTTTGCCGCATCTTCCATATTTAGAAGTTGGTTTAATTTTTTTTTTTTTGGTCTGAAATATAACAAAGTTCATTCAAGTACGAAAAGTAGGAAAAACTTAGTTACAATCAAATGCAAAAAAAACTTGAAACTCTAATGGGGGACAGCTGACCCAATTCACAAGAAGAGAATTGGAAAGTGCCAAAGCTGCCACCCAATGAGCTGCCCCGTTAAGGGCTCATGACTTGTGTAAAAACCTAAGATCTAGGTATCGAGTATATGATCTGATATCTTCCACAAAAATACTTATCTCCCAAGGCAGAACTCCCTCGATTGAGCTAAGCTTGATAACCTCCAGATTATCACACTCAATTGTGCAAAATTGAAGGTGAGAAGCACTTGCAAGTGAGCAAGCCTCTCTGACAGCAACCTCCTCCACAAAAATACTCGAAACAGCAGGATACACTTTCTAATTCCATCCAAAAGGCAGTTATTTGTATCCCTCAAAATAACACCTATAGCAGCACGCCGCTCCTTGAAAGCTCCATCACAACTAATGTGAGGACCATTAAACCGTTCAGAAGGAGAAGGAACAAACCTGAAAAAAGACAATTGGCCGCCAGCAGAACCTTTATACACGGACATCACTTCGTTCCACGACAGGTTGGCTTTGATAAGAGTGGAGAATGCATCCGGAGCTTCTTGGTTAAACACCAGTTGGTTTTGGCCCTTCCAAATATTCCACGCTATCATTGCGACTTTGCCCATAATCTCAATGGACAGGACAGTGTTGTTGATGGCCCCCAGGAGAGACAAACACCAAAAAATAGTAGACACATTCAAATCCTCTACGAATCTGAAACCAAGGTCCGAGCCAAACCAGACTTTTCTTGTCCATTCCCATCCAAATAGAAGGTGTTCAATTGACTCCACCTTGCCTTTGCAAATTTGGCACCAAGGAGAATCTGCACATCTCCTTTTAAACAGGTTTTCCTGAGAAGCCAGTGCATTGTTACATACCTTCCACCAGAAATGTCGAACTTTCGAGGGAGCCTCCATATGCTATAAAACATGCCAAAGCTTCGGGTGAGGAGAAAATGAAGAGCTAGCTTCCAAAATGCATGAGGATTTGAGAGTGGTTGCCAAAAAATAACCTTACTTTATAGAGAATGCACCGGTTGAACAAGGTTGCCAAATCCTTCTATCACTGCCACTTAACTTCGAAATGGGGATGGAAAAGATGGCCTTGCAATCGGCAACATTAAACAAGGAGGACAGTAAGTCAGTGTTCCAGACTTTGAAAGGATGAGAGATGAGTTGGTTTACTCGTTCAATAACTCATGGTTGGGACCTAACGGTGGAAATAGCTGCCTGTGGAAGGAGAGGAACCCATTTATCATCCCAAATATTTATCTTTTTTCCATCCAAAACTTGTCATAACAGTCCATTCCCCAACAGCTCCCTTCCCTTTAGTAAACTACTCCAAAACCAAGAAGGCCTACCCCCCCCCCCCCTTTCTTTGCCACCATAAAATCACTATCAGGGAAGTAGACTGACTTCAGAAATTTTACCCAAAAGGAATTAGGCTGGTGAAGAATTCTCCAACCCTGCTTCGCCAAAAGAGCTTGATTAAAGCAATGAAAATCCCTAAAACCCATAGCCCCTCTCATCTTTAAGTCCACCATCAGCTCCCATTTTTTCCAATGAATACCACACTTTTCCCTACCATCACCCCACCAAAAGGACCTAACATACTTATCCAGCTTGTCACAAAAACCTTTAGGAAATAAAATAACCGACATGGCATAGGATGGAATTGCTTGCACCACAGCTTTGATTAGAATCTCTTTCCCGCCAAGTGTTACCAACAAACCTTGCCAACCCTGCAACGTTTTTAGGACACATTCTAATAGGAACCCAAAAACCTCATTCTTTGATCTGCCCCAGAAGGCGGGGAGCCCCAAATACCTAGACTCAAGTGATTTGCATTCCCAAA